ACCCCTAATTTGGTTTCCTGATGTGGGTTGTCCTACTTGGAATAACAAACAGAGCAATCACAACTTATGTGGATCACCAAGGAGCCAAGGAACCACCTGCAGCACCTGGCTCCTTATAGAATTAGCTTTGCTGATGAGAATGGTCCAGAAGCATCTCAAGGGATTGAAAGTGGTCTGAGCAGATCAATTATAAATCCGGGCGAATGGATATTGAACAAATATCATGAATGTGGGGCATACTTCAGATAGATTTCATGGCCAATTCCAAAAATGCCCAAGCCTCCAAGTAATGTTTCCCTATTTCAGGATCCACAATCAGTGTGATAAGGTACCTTATCACAAACTTGAAACTTTGATCTGGGGTATGTGTTCCCTTTCCTACCTTTGATTGTCTACTAAGGAAAATATGGGAAGATGGGAAGAAGAGGAAAATCATAATAAAATATGGCCAAGGAGACTACAGTATCCACTTCTTTGCAGAATGAGCTCAAAACACCCTGGGAATTACTGAGGAATTGATAGTACAGGGGCCAGCAGTCCAACTCAACCCCACTCAGCTAAAGTTGGGGGCATGATGCTCAGGGCCAGCACGTCCATATGGCGGCACAGGGGAATGCCTTAGGGCACCAGAGAGGGGTGTGGTTTGGCGCAAAAATCTGAATCCCCTGCCTGGAGAAGAGCAATGGAAGTCATGCCCCCTCCTCCTGACATCATCAGGAGTAGCTGGCCGACTGACTTCCCTGGCTGCAGGCTCCAGTTCCTGTCCCACCTGACAAACAGGGACAAGGCTTCCCCCTCCCTGGTCCAAGCTAAGACTCAGGGAGGGGGGATACACTTTGTTTTAACATTTAAACAGTATCTACCTATTATAGCTCTTGTTCCCCCACCACAGCCCCTCATCTACAGCCCCTGTCCCACCTTCTACAGCCCTTGTCCCTTCTTCTACAGCCCCGCTCCCCCTTTTACAGCCCCTGTCACCACCTTCTACATCCCCTGTTCCCCCGTGCCCCAACCACAGCCACTGCCACCTTTAGAGACCCTATGCCTGCCTATACAGCCCCTGTCCCCCCTTTTACAGCTCCTGCCCCCCTTCTATAGCCCCTGTGCCCCCTCTCAGCTACTGTGCCCCGCCACAGCCCCTGCCTCATTTCTTCTTATTTTTGACATTCTTTATTTTGTCATTGATGTCAATGCAGTACAAGGAACATTTTGCGAACTTGATACAATATGTGGCAAACTTTTCATCAATAACATCTAATGTTTAAGGGTGCTGTACTAAACATATAATGCAGTCTAACATCAACAATTTTTATTATAGTAAGGTGTGTGGGCTTTATAACCCAAGGTCTTGGTATCATAGCCCTAATTAGGATCCATCTACCATTGCTTGTTGGGTGTTTTTGTGTGTTGGGTGATGCCCATCTTCCGTCCATAGGCCCATGGTCTTATCTCCTCCCCCCCCAGCCCAGGGACCCCATGGTGTGTTGCGTCTTGCAGTGTGGTTTCAGGAGATAGTTCTGGCTCAGGTCCCCTATCGAAATGCTGTTAGCTGTGGCCTGTAGGGTCAAGGGTGGTGGGTTTTTGTGGGCCTAGTTAGGCTACCTGATTGCGTGTAGGAAATTGCCTTCTGGTCAGGGAGTCCTATTTGCCTTTGACTCTGTACCTTAGGCCTGCCCCCTGCTGGTCTGATCTTGTGAAGGGGGTGGTTTCAGCTGTATTGGGTAATGGTGTATCGGTAATATGTCTGTGGTCAATTTAGAAAGGTAGGGGTATGGGTTATTGTGGTTGTAGGGGATTGTCCACGTCTGTGTGTGATTTGGGTCTGTGCTAGTCTCCAGTGGTCGCTGGCCCCGGTGCGGGTGCAGCCCCGCCCCCCGGCGGGCCAGCAGCCGCAGCCCTTTTGGCCATGTAGTCCATCCATGGGTACCAGGTCAGCGCACATTTGTCTTCTCGTCCCTGCAGTGAGGCCGTCATCATCTTCATATTGTAGATGTCTTCCACCCTAGCGATCCATTGCTGGAAGGAGGGTACTATTGTGCTTTTCCAGTGTGTGGGGATAAGCATTTTTGCCGCCGTGAGCAGGTGTATGGTGAGCCCTTTTTTGTATGCCTTCAGTGGTGTGTGTGTGTAGTTTAGCAGCATCGTCAGGGGTTGCATTGGGAGATCGGTGCCGGTGATTTCTTTAATTGTACGGTTTACCATCTGCCAGTATCGGACTATGAGAGGGCACGTCCACCAGATATGGTATCCTGTACCCACCTCCGTTCCGCATCTCCAGCATTCACTGGGAATCGACTCATGAACATGTCGTAGGATGTCCGGAGCCCTATACCATTGCGTCAATATTTTATAGTTGCATTCTTGGTATTTTGAACTTATAGACCCTTTGTGCGTCAGCTGGAAGTTCTTGGTCCAATCCGCCTCCGTGAGTTCGATCCCCGTTTCTCTTTCCCACCGCTCCATGAAAAAAGCGCCCTTGTCTCTGCTATTCATTAGAGCGGAATACATAGTTGATACACCATGTGAGAGGTTGTGCCTGGCCGTACATAGTTTTTCAAGATATAGTAAGGGGCGGTGCACGTGATCCTTTCCCGTGATAGCGTTGGAGTAGGTTTTGATTTGGTGGTAGTGGAATTCGTCTAGTCTGGTTGGTCTGCGGTCTTGTAACAGGTCTATCAGGGATTTGAAGTGCTGGCCGTTGCACCATTGGTGAAGATAGACCCAGTCTGACGCCTGGAAGTTTTTAAGGGTAGCGGAGCTTAGCCCTCCCGCTAGTTTCAAGATGTTAGCTATAGGTGTGAGCAGGTTGGGGGATGGGGTGAGCCGCTTGGCGTACCTTACCCCACACCAGACTTTGAGGGTGGCATTGATCATTGGGTTGCCTGTACGTACCTCTCTGAATGTAGCCTCTCCCAACCACAGCAGGACTGGGATCTTCCCTTGTGCTTGTTGAAGCTCCATGTCCACCCATTGCTTAGTGTTTGGGTTGGCGTGCCAATCGACCAAACTGTGTATATGGGTCGCCGGGTAATACATGAGAGAGGATGGTAGTCCCATTCCTCCTTTGCTCTTCGGTTGTTCCAATCGATCGTCGGACCCGTGGGGGCCACTGGCTCCAAACAAACTGTCTGATGTTGGTCGTTATCGTCTGGAAGAAGACTTGGAGGATGGTGGTAGGCAGCGTCTGGAATAGGTATAAGAAACGCGGCATCACATTCATCTTGATTGCACTTATGCGACTAAACCAAGATATATACCTGGATGTCCATCGTTTTAAGTCCTGCTGTAAAGTCATGAGGAGAGGAGCGAAGTTCAGTTGGTATACCTGCGTGAGATCTTTCGGCAGCCAGATACCGAGGTATCGAAGCTTAGCCGCGAAGATCCTGAACGGGAAACGTGCTATGATGTGTTGTGTTAGGGCAGCATCCTGAGCGAGCGGCATAGCTTCTGATTTCTCTAGCTTAAGTTTCAAGTTAGACCGTTTATACAGTTTAAACGCCTCCAGTAAGTTCGGGGCTCAGATTCTGGGTTGTTCTAAGAAGAAAAGCATATCATCTGCGTATGCCGCCACATGATGTTCCTCCCTGCCCAGGCGGATCCTCGTGATGCCCCCGTCTCATCTGAGCACCTCCAGAAAGGGCTCGAGAGTGAGGGCAAACAGGAGAGGTGACAGGGGACAGCCCTGACGGGTGACGTTATGGATGTTGAACGGCTTAGTCAATGCTCCGTTGACCCGTATGCACGCCGTTGTTCGTATGTGCGGTCCAAACCCCATGTGGTGTAGGGTCTCCGAGAGGAAGGTCCAGTCAACACGGTCGAACGCCTTTTCGGCGTCTGTTGACAGGAGCACAACCTCCCGTTTATCAACTGTGGCTACGTGAATGATGTTAAGGGCTCTGATGGTGTTGTCCTTGGCCTCCCTCTCGGGTATGAAACCGACTTGGTCTGGGTGTACCAAATCCGGCAGAGCTTGGGTGAGTCTGAGCGCCATTGCCTTAGTGAATATCTTCAGGTCCACATTCAGTAACGAAATAGGGCGGTAGCTGGCGCAGTTAGGGTGATCTTTGCCCTCCTTCTGGAGGATGGCGCCTATTGCGCTCGGGGTGTCCATGGGGAAGTGGCCACCAGTTTATATTGAGTTGAGGCCCGTCAGGAGTCTCGGTAATAATATGTCCTTGAAAGTGCGGAGGTATGATAGTGGTAATCCGTCTGGTCATGGAGCCCGGTGTCGCTTGGACACTTGGCTCCAGCCAGTTCCTCGATTGTCAAGGGTTGGTCTAGTTCTGCGCCTCCAGCTCTGGGGTAAGCCTCCGGGCCACATGACTTTCCAGGTATGCAGTGATTTGGTCCTTATGGCACAGCGTCTCGGAGCCTTCCCGCGCTTGCACTTGATCGTATAATGTCGCGTAGTATTCCTGGAACACTTCCAGGATGCCCTCCAGTAGTCATGTGACACCCCCTCCCCGTGCATGGATCTTATGGATGTTTTGGAGTCTTCCGTTTTTCTTGGAGCATCCTTGCCAGCAACCTGCCACTCTTGTTGAAATGTTCATAAAAGAACCTAGCTGACTTTCTTGCAGTGTGTAGTTGTCCCTGAGCCTCTCGAAGTTCCCCGCGGGCCACTGTGAGGTGGAGGTAGGTGCCTTCGTCCAACGTATGTTTATGTTCTTGTTCTAATTCGGCTATTCATTTCGTTAGGGTGGTCAGGCGTGTGGTCCGGTCTTTTTTGCATCTGGTGCTCACAGCGATGAGGTGTCCTCGGCTGACGCATTTATGCGCTTCCCAGAGCATCAGTGGAGGAACCTCCGCGTTTTCGTTGTCAGTGAAGTATTGGGTTAGGGCGGCAGTTACCTTGGTCCTGAGCTCGAGATCATCAAGCAGGGTCTTGTTTAGTTTCCACTGTCGTTCTCTAGGTTTAAACAGTAGGGAGCTTGTGCGTGCCACAACAGGTGCATGATCGGAGTGTTCCATCAGCCCAATGTTGGTGTCATGAAGTAGGGTCAGATATTCCTGCGCAAGGAATATGTAATCAATGCGGCTTTCGTGCATGTAGACCGCCGAATAATGGGGGTAGTCGCGATCTTCCGGGTGACTCGCCCCTCCAGCAGTCCACCAGCCTCAGCCTGCTCAGAACTCGCATTGTTGTGCGTAGGCACCGTGCTTGTGCCTCTAGAGGTGTCCATGCGGGGATCGAGCAGCAGGTTCAGGTCCCCTGCCACCACCAGCAGACCCTCCCTGAAGCTCTCCAGCCTAGTCAAGGTGCGGTTTATGAAGATGTGTTGTCTTCTATTGTGACTGTACAGGCATGCAAAAGTATAGGTATGATCTGCGATGGTGCCTTTGAGAAAAAGGTAGCGCCCATTGGGATCTGCCATTGTCGCCTTGCACCGGAATGGTACCGTGTGTGTGAACAGTATTGCCACCCCCGCCTTCCTGGCGGTTTGTGTAATACCCTGTTGGAAAGCGGCGGTTTTCTAGTTTGGGGGCATCACTGCCTCTGAAGTGTGTCTCCTGCAGAAACGCCACAGATGCCCTTGCGGCCCACAGCTTATTGTGCAGGTGCGAGCGCTTCTCTGGTACATTAAGGCACTGGACATTGTTCGGTACGTTACCTGGGCCGGCGTGAAGCCATTTTGGCTGCCGCCGCAGTGGAGGGGAGGTTCCGAGCCCACCCCGGAGAGGGCCTGGGGGAAAGAGGGGGCATAGTAGGGGGTGGTCAAAAGGCAGGTATGTGTGTAGGGCTGCGTTACCTGTCAAGTGTTTTCGGTGTGGGGTCGTGGGGGGGGGATTGGTGCAACAGTGACCCGGTACCGGGAGTAGTCATTCAAGGGGCAGGGGAGAGTATCTGTCCCAGTGAACTCCGGTAATATATACAGTTAGGGTCCATCACAGTGAGGGTCAGTGTGGCCACCTATGGAGGTGAATCCGTCTGGGCGGAGTTGTGTCTGACGCCTATTCTTCCCCATTTATGAGTTTTCTGTTGATTTTAAGCTATTTTACTGGGCTTAGCAGGTTGGGGCCTAGGAGCTCAAGTTAGGTGCCTCTCACTCTATTGGCGGTCAGGCCACCCTGCCTCATTTCTAAACCCCCTGTTTTACAGCCAATGTGCTCACCTCTCAGCCCCTGTTCCACTCTCTATAGTCCATGATGACCAGAGCTAAGGTAGTCTTAGCCATCTCTTAGCCTCTGTATCCCCCTCTCAGCCCCTATGGCCCCACCACAGCCCCTGCCCCCCTTTACTGCTCCTGGCCCCCACTACAGCCACTGTGCCCCCTTCTACAGCCCCTATGTTCCCCTGTCCCCCCCACTCTACAGCCCCTGTTTCCCCCTCTACTGACCCTGTCGCAAACCTCTACATCCCCTGTCCCCCGTCTACATGCCTTGTGTCCCCCCTCTACAGCCCCTAGGTCCCCCCTTCTACATCCTATGTGCCCCCCTCAGCCCCAGAGTCCCCTTCTATATCCCATGTCCCCCTCAGCCCCTGTTTCCCCCTTCTACAGCCCTAGTGTTCCCCCTTCTACTGCCCCTGTTCGCCCCCTCTTCTGCCCCTGTCACCAACCTCTACAGCCCTGCACCCCCTCTACATTCTCTGTCCTTACACCTCAACCCCTGCCCCCTCCCCCCTTCTACAGTCCCTGTGCACCCCTCTACAGCACCTGACTACCAGGGATAAGGTGGTGTCAACCCTTTCTCAGCCCTTGCTGAGGGCTTCTACATCCGATGCCCCCCCTACAGTCCCTAACTCCCCTGATGCACATGTCTGTGTGTGTGGCTGTATGGCTGGAAAAAAGAAAGAGACAAACAGGCTGGGGGAAGTAAGAAATACACAAGGGGGTAAGAGACACACAATGGGTTGTAAGACACACTAAAGGAGGTTACGAGATACATGGGGGGAGAGACGGGAAGCAAAATATATCTTCACCTGTATAGCCAAAAATTCTTGCACCAGCCCTGATGATGCTTGAGAAAGAGAGACTCCCAAACGAGGGGTTATCTTAAACAGTGGATAATACTCTCCTTATATCTAGGAAAAAAAATAACTTCGGCTTGTTATCATCATATTTGGGAAATCTTCAGGACATGGGCCAAGGAAAAGTCTAGATTTTTTACACCCTTTTCAGCCTCAAGTATTAAAATTCCGAAAAACAGGACTGAAGAAAGGTTTGAGTACCTAGAAGGTCTAGTCTTCAACATTATCAACCCTCTGTAATGCCTCATTGGCTTAGAATCACCTCATTTCAAGATTTTTTAAGGCAGCTATGCCTAAAGTAATTACACCCCTCCATGGAATATTTCTTTAGTCCTGGATGCTTTTTCAGGGCCTCCTTTTGCTCCTTTAAAGGATCTTATTGACTTTTAAAACTTTGCATGTAATAGCAATCAAATCAGATAAGCGAATTTCTGAGATACAAGCATATCTTGTGAGCAATCTCATATGCACATTTTTCACGATTAAGTGTTGTTGAAACTAAGACAAGATAATATTATTATTATTATTGGCATTCATATTGCACCAACATATTCCGCAGTGCTTTACAATATTATAAAGAGGAAAATTTAACAATAAATGAGGCAATTACAAAATGTCATAGGAACAATAGGTTGATGAGTACCCTGCTCGAAAATATTTACAATCTAGAGTACAATCTAAAGAACTATGTAACTTCCACCTTCTCCAGGAAGTATGTTTGCCTTCATTTTATCCAGAGTCTTGAATTACTTGAATTTAAACTGCATGGACTAGATGTGAGAAACTGCCTTATAAATATTATTATGTGTCTAAAGCAGTGTTCCCCAACCCACTCCTCATGGACCACCAACAGTCCATGTTTTGTCAGTATTTCCATTGGAATAAAACAGGGAAATACATAAATCCTGGACTGTTGATGGTCCATGAGGACTGGGTTAGGGAACACTGGTCTAAAGAATTTAGTAACCAATAGTAATGACACAGCTCTACCTTGGTCTCAAGGGTGCAACTGGACCTGAGGTAGGCCAAACTCCACTCTGTAGTTTAGAAAGTGGACAAGGGTCGAGGCACTCACGGTATAACCAAAAAGAATTTAGTAAGTCAAACCCAGGGGCGGGCTGGGCCGGGGGGCAGGGAGGCAATTGCCCCCCAGGCCGCCCTAAATTCTGTCAGGACCGGCCGCTGCAGGGCCGGCCCTTTAAATGCTGCAGCCGCCTGAGCGCTCTGCTAAGAGCCTCGGATGCAGCACATATTCTCCCCTTCCCTGTAGCGTGGCCGAGCTGCTCTGCTGTCCGCGGTGCCGACCGGACTGATAGGAAGGTGCACACTCAGTGTGCACTTCCTGTCAGTTCGGCCGGTTACAGAAAACAGAAACTCCGCGCGGAACAGGAATTTCTGTTTCCTGTCACTGGCCGGACTGACAGGCAGTGCACACTCCTTCCTATCAGTCCGGCCGGACACCGCGGACAGCAGCTTGGCCACGCTACAGGGGAGGGGAAGAGAGGTGAGGGGGGGATTAAGAAGAAGGGGGGAGGGGGAA